AAATATACAATATTTCCTTAACACCGTGATGACATGTACCAAATATGGGTGAAATAGGTTCACAACCACGCCTGAAATCTCGATTATCACTTTATCATGCGAGAGTATAAAATGTTCGGTGACACCCGAACTTAGTCCTTCCTTACTTGTTGTTTTTTGATTAATTAGGTTGGGTACGCCTTAAAAACCAACTTTATTTCTCAATGCCCGTTATTGCAATTCATTTTTTGGTATTATGTTATTAATCACATTTATCTGTTATAAGATTARTGACATATGTAGTAGCACACCTTTGACATTTCGTGGCAAGAACGCGACAAAAAGCAATATTAATAATATACAGATCGATGTTGCCGCCGATGCCGAGCGCTGCGCTCTCATTGTATGTATTGGGTTTATCYAATCACAAGGCAATTTACTGGTATTTTACACGAAAACTTTGTTCCGTCTAAAATAATGCTAAAAAGCTGGGTTTTTAAAACACGATTACTTGCCGTTCACTCTTAAAGTTGGCTAACAACTAACGCAACTGATTGTTCAAGTGCTTCGCAGAACCATTTGTTGTTCGTCAGAAAATAAACAAAATCCCCAAACGATACGTACAATAGATWTGTGCATATATGTATACTTAACTATGTATGTACTTTTGAAGTATTTGGATTTAATAAAAGGAAACGTACCTACAAAAAAGTGAGCAATTGTAGAAGCAAAAAACACAAAGTTTTAAAATATCCGCTCTAAGCTCTGAGCTTCTAAGTTTTCGTGTTTGAAATTACCCTTAGTTAATTCTCTTATTAAACTGYCGCATCGTTTTTCGCGCGCACAACCAACATCTCCACCGCCCACCGCCTAGYTGTAAGCGCTTTCAGCAGAACTATCGGTCAGCTTCTCGTTGCTTGTAGTTAAGTAGACATGCGTGCGAAGATACGTCGTTTTCAAGCGGTAGTTGATAAAATCTTTAAGTAACCGAGCCACTGGCGGTCCATCTACTAGCAGCAAAGTCGTAGTGGCAACAAAAATTTATTTTATTTTTGAATTGTTGTAACGACTGATATTGAGACTTCGATGTATGCTGTTAACGTCTGTTCAACTAATGAGGTTGGTGTTGATGTGACGGCATCTCTGAATAAAGTATACATATGTATTGCCGCGAAATTCAGTAGTAAAATAGAGACGCGCTTGCATACTTGTGGTAATACATTTATTAGTTCGTCGAAACTAACTAAAGTTCGTTTTATTGCAAAAATGTCAATAGTATAAACTACTAAGTGGTCTGTATATGGCAAGTAAGTTGGGATACGTTTCGAGGCGCAAAACAGCCTGGACATGCATCAAAATACCCTTTTGTATCGACCAAGCTCAGACAGTCGAAGAAAAACTTACGAGCTGTTTCTATCATGTCTTAACAGTTACATTTCGTTCAGATATTTAGTTTCCCAATATGGGTGAAAGCCATACATTTGAAGACGTTTGTAATCGAACAACTGTTGTAACTAAACATAGTCAAAAGTAACGCATACTTCAATTGCACGAAAGCTTCACAAATACAAAAGATTCCTTACAAGAACTATGTTTATATTGTACAGTTTGTAAGGTGAACAATTTCTTCTGGTACCATTGCCTTAGACAATAATCCRTACCAAAATTCTTTAAGTTATCTCGTCAAATGAAAAAGTTTTCCCGCAAGTACTGAATTTCGATTATTCAGCTTTTATGGCAGCTTCTATGCTATTTTTCCATATCGACGTTTTCTTCCGCATGTTACAAACTTCGCGGAAAATTTAATGACCCCAGTTTAGGGTATAATTATTTTATACCAGAAGTGATATGATATGAAGAGAAATAAATTATGGGCAGAATCTCTACTTTATGAGAACGAACTTTTTTTAATCCGGTCCCATTAGTATAACTCACCYTACGTGTACCTTAGAGTTAAGTTCCACTTATGAAACATTCAAATAGTGAACTTGAAAAATGTTGACCAGAATTTACAGAGTAATTACATTTAATCAYTTATGAAATCTTGTTTACTGTCAAACACATAACAATTACAATTATATTATACGTACGTAGATTTATACACCCTACTAGGAGTACTTACARTCCGCGGAAGTTGGATTAGTTGAGTGCGCAAATGCTATTCTATGGATGATTGGTTTGAATCCCAGCTTAAATTACTTATAATTTGTGAAGTGAACATGTCTATAACATCACACGTATCTTGCTAARCAAAGATTTATAGAAGTAACTAAAATTTGTTTCAATATACGTTCACAGTCGTCGCGCACTTTGATATTTCGGGCATAGATTCTTTCTCTTTTGAAATATATTGAACAATCAGAAATTGGGGTGGTTAGAAATCTCTATTTAACGCTGAAGACTCTGTTTACGGTGCCTGCAAAGTGGACGCTCAAAGCCGASCGTAAAGCTGATTTGGATCGGCGCTAATTGCTTCCAGATGCGCATTTTTTTAATATTTTAATTGTGTTAGTTGTGTTTATACAAGTGAAATGGTAAGACTTGCTCTGTGCTAAATATTTAAAAATTTTCATTTTCAATTAATACAAAAATGTTTGAACTTTTCTGAATGAATGAATGGATTCCACCATTTGTATAAAGACGTAAGCCGTTACGCGCAAACGTTTTTTGAATATACATATAATACACTTAAACTTCCCTCTCGAAACTCGAATAATCATTATCATAGTTTTGGTCAGCTCTAAAGTCATAAAAAGTCGTGATGGACATACATACATGCATCGTAACCAATATATTTTTTGGAATCATTTAAAAATCTAAGATTAATAAAAAGTACAAAAAAGGGGAAACTTACCCCCAGACCTGTTCCTGTTAGTCGACTCCTAAAGCTAGCAAACAGTTTTGGAAATGCGAAGTTCAAGCGAAAGGATTAAGCGGAAGAGTAATAATGACCATCTTATTCGATAATTGGAAATGAGTTTCGATAGCTATATTTGCTCTTCTCAACAATCAAGGACTTTAATCTGATGGAGATTATAATATTAGTTTGTTTGGTTCTTTAGCGACACTTCTTTTTTCTACACAATAATTTTAAGAATAAAATATAAATTGACTAAGTCTTGACAAACAAAYTGGTAATTTAAAAGAATTTAATTTGTTTTTAAAAATTACTAATTTTTTTGTTCATTTACTGACGAAAACCAGTTTGCCAAAATTAACGAATAATAATTCTTTGTTTTTTSCGCAATTAAAATTTTAGTAAGTGACATTGTTTAGCTTGTCTCTAACAACACATACATTTCTTGTACATACATATGTATGTATATTTAAGACGCAAAATAAAGCCAGTTAAGCGGCATCTTTACAATAATTAGATTTTGCATGAGCACAATTGAAATTAAGTAAAAAATCTACAAWGTAAAWACAAGGGAAACTACCAAGAACAATAACACAACAAAAAATATTGTTGATCTTATCGGACCGCAGTGAACATATGCTGACATTGGCACCACGTAGGCGGCGTCGCCTCAACCGATGCCTGGAGGGTTTGAGGCAGCGTGAAGTGTTTAATATTCCATTTCCCAGTTGGCGAGGTGAGGCCACGAGTCGCAACTTTTGTCGCATTGAGCCGCCGTATTATTAGCCTATTGCAATAAGTGGCTTCCATTTGGTTGTTTTTCACCAGGCATAGACGTTTAAAGTTACCGAAATTTACAAAAATTTAATTTTTACAGTCAGTTACTATAAGATTGTAAAACTAAGACTGCGTCTAGAGTGTTAGAGTAACCAACTCCCATCGCCTAAATTGAAATTAAAAGATGCTGATATCAAATTAAGGGAAACTTTAAACGGTAAAGAAGAAACACACTTAGGGTTTATAAGGTTATATATCCACCAAATATTGCTTTTCATTTCTTGTCTCAACTTTTCAATGCCATCCAAAAGTTTGAATATTTTTCGAAAACGTGGAAAAAGTCACAGACTTGATAGTCAAGCCTGGAAAAGACACAACGCTGCCGTCATCATATCGACCAATAAGCTGATAGTCGGTTTTCTCCAAGCTTTTTGAAAAAGTATTGCTATCCAAAATATCTTCTTTTCTCCGTGCATACGAAACTATTAAAAATCGTCAGTTCGACTTTCGCGAGAAACATTGTACTATTAGCAAATTCTTACTTGAGTTGAACGAGTACTGCTCAGCGATACACAAAGTTAAAATGACTTTGCCAGAAAACTTTCATCAGTTGTTCATATTAGACCTTACTAACAGGCAATTTACAGTTAAAGTTAAGGAATTTATCTTAAAGATGGATATTTTTWACCGCAGACATTCCAACGAATGCAAAAGTACTAATCTCAACATTCGCAGAAGACACCGCTACTTAGTTTCGAAGCAAATTCCCTGTGAAAACACACCAGCAAATCACGAAAATCTCTTTATTCTTGATTAAACCGCTTGAAGTTTCAAATAGCTCTATGTTCTATTTGCCAGCGCTTTTGACAAAAGATTTTGTGACTATGGTTTCCAGTCGGAACGTTTTGTCTTTTTAAATTAGCACCCAACATTTTACAACATAAGCATTTACCATATTTTAAAATATTTAATATATACACAACTACTATATAAATATAAGTCGGGTTTTCCTTCCTGACGCTATAACTCCAGAACGCACGAACCGATTTCCACGGTTTTGCATTCGTTGGAAAGGTCTCGGGCTCCGTTAGGTTTATARCAAAAATTCAGGAAAAATTTCAACAGATAAGCGGGAAAATCTCTTTTACATACAGGCAATCTCTGATACAAAGCATGTACTACAAACCAATATTTTAAATAGATGGCGCCGGAGCGTGAAACATACAAAACGGTATTGTGTTCACTGTGAAATTGTGAAAAAAAATTCAAAAAATAATTTATTCGTTTCTTAACATTTCAATTGGAAACCATCAAATCAATCGTGTGTATTGTGCAAATTTTTATTCCATTTCAACAGCTTCGTGCATTTGAGGTTAAATTCCCCCCTCTGCGCATAGTCCAAAATACCTAGAAGACGACGTGCGAACAAGACATGCAAGATATCAACAAGTGTATTCACAGAACTTAAGCGAAGAAARACAAAATTTAATAAGAGGAAATGCCCAACTGAGACAACGCGTGAGGACACGAAGATCATTGGCATCATACAATCGCTTGGCATTCCAATGTGATCCCACTGCGAACTACAGTGATGATAAAAATTTAGATATTGGACCAATGACGACTATATGCCGATATTGCAATGCGTTAAAGTTCAAAATAGAAACGGCTATATTGTGCTGCGCAAGTGGAAAAGTTAAGCTGGATCCATTACTTACACCACCATATCCATTGAAACCATTGTTCGAGTGAAAGTGAGATAAAAGGACAAATATATAATTTGCACAGTTCAATGGTGCCAACATCAGATGAACCGCATCAATTTCTGCAAATATATTTCATTTAGTCGATCAGCTGAMTATGCGATGCATTA